ACTGAAGAACATTCTCCAAAGTAACCAGCTTGAACACCTCAGAAATGTCAAGATCACAAAAGAGAAGAAAAGGCTAAATAAGTTGTTTCAGGCTGAAGACGATTAAAGAGACATGATAACTACATGTGGTGCATAATTCTGGATACATAAAGGAGATCATTGGGATAATCAGTGACACTTGAGTGGGGACTTGCTGATCAGAAGATTGTACGATATCTGTTAATCTCCTGATTTGGGTGGGTGTCCTGTGGCTAGGTAGGGAATGTTCTTTTTCTAAGGAAATGTACATTACTATTCAGAGTTAATGGAGTATCACACCTTTTGCAACTTAATTTCAGAGGGTTGAGAAAAAATAATATGTGTATTTGCAGAGAGACAGATGGAAAATATGGTGAAATGTTAACAACTGGTGAATCTGGGAAAGAGTATATAGGACATCTGCTTACTATTCTTGAAACTGAAATTTTTCTGTAAGTTTAAAATTATTTCATAGTAAAATTTACCCCAGAAACTGTATGATAAAATTCAACACAAACTTTTGGCAAAAATAAATAATACATGTATGGAGAGAGGGATGTAGAGACACAGAGAGATCCATGGGGGGGTACTATTTGAGGCATTCTTCTATGTTTATGTACATCCATAGGGGTTTTGTTGCTGTTTTTTTAAAATGAGTTTATACTATACAAATGTAGCTTGCTTTGTTCACTTAAAAGTGTATCTCAGCGATCTTTCCACATCAGTATAGATAAATCTACCTCAGTCTTTTAATTGTGGCATACAATTGCCTTATATTGATATTCTATCATTTTTAAGTAAGTTCCCCACCAGAAGGTTGCTACCTGGTATCCTTTGAAATGTTTATCTTCTTATAAAAATTTTACTGCTAGATAATGCCATACACTTAAAGTCAACTTGTGAACCACTGCATGCTATAAGAGGAAAGAAATCCTCAGATTTGGGTTACCCAAGCATTCAAAAGTAATGATAAATTCAAGGTAAGGTTTGTGTCAACAGACAAAATCAATAAGACCCTGCAATGGGGCATGAATTTTCCATACTCTCTAGCAGTGCAGTGGACAAATTTTCAGAGGTCTTCTCATTTTATTCCTTTCCAAAACTCTACTCACTTTTAAAACTATTTTATTTTAATTTAGGAGTGTTCTTCATCAGCTGACTTAGGAATGAGCATTTCAATGTCTTCCCTTATCCCACGGCTGTGAATGTTTTACAGAATGCACGCACATGTGAAATTATTCAGGCATATTCACGATCAGCAAAAACAGAATCAGAGGAAACCATTTTATCTGCTGTGTTTATTACTAAAAAAGCTCAATTATCCCTTGATAGACTCCTTGGGAATAGCAAAATTTCTGCATACGTGTGTTATTCTGCAATTAGAAGAAGTGGGAAAGGCTATACATGAAAGAATGTCTGCTTCGCAAAGTGAGATGAGGCTGAGTCAGCAGTCAGTGATGTATAAGCAGAGTGTTGAGGGGGACAGGGAACTTGGGGATGGGGGTGAGGTGGGGATGGGGAGGGATGGGGAAAGAGGAAGGAGAAAGGAAAGGCTGCCCTGAAGAGCCTGGCTCAGCTTAGAGTCAGGTTTCTCATGCCTTTTCCTCTTCTGGACCATGGAGTTCCAGTAGCCAACTTGGCCATGGTTTAAGAATGGAACCCTCCACTAGGTAATGAAGCAAAAAGTTAAGAGCTGAGACCCTAATAACTTAGTGGAGTTGCCATATTTACTCTGGACTGGCTACTTCTGGACCTTGTTTATGTGTGAGAATCAGCTCTTGTGCATTTACTGTTCTTTGTTTTTTGTTGTTACTGTTATATTCAGTTCTCTCCATTGAGAACCTAACTGAGTCTGGCAGAAGGAAACCAATCAACCAATCACAGGATCCATGACTCCGGCCCTTAATGGTCCCTGGAAGAACGGCCCTGGCATCACTTGGGGGGGGCCAGTTAGAAATGCAGAGTCTCAGGCCCCACCCAGCCTTACTGAATCGGAATCCACAGTTTAGCAAGATCCCTGGATGATTTGTATGCATACTTTGGGAAGCCTGATCAGCACTGCCTTAGAGTAAATGCCCTCTGAGAAACCAGACTAAACATCACGGGTTTGGAATGACCTGCTGGGCAGGGTTCTTGTTACCTAGATTTATACGCTGAAAACATGACACTGAGACATGTGACCCAATTTGAGATCAGACATCAAACATACCTTTTTCAAATGACAAGTTTCTCAATAGGTTCAAAATGCACTAAAAAAAAACCACATAAAGATTGTAAATTTGGGCTTTTTACAAGTACAGTTCATGATAAAAGCAGGGTGCTTTACAAATAATGACCAAAATCCAGAAATAATAACTTTTTTGGCTATTTATTACAGCAAAGCTTTCTTATTCTCATTTTTAAATTACTAAGTACTGATTCTTTGACAAGTTCAGCTGCATCCCAACTGCCCAACGAAAACTGCATTTACCTGTACAGTATTTAAAAGTGAAAATGATACTTTCTTTCCCTTTTCAAAAATTTTAAATGTATTATTAGTCTTACCTTTTATTTTATTTTTAAAGCCTTTTTTAAAGTTTTTTTTTCTTAAGGGGGAGGTAATTAGGTTTTTATTTTTAGAGGAGGTACTGGGGATTGAACACAGGGCCACACGCAAGCTAAGCATATGCTCTACCACTTGAGCTGTATCTTCCTCCCCCAAAATAATACTTTCAGAGTATCCTTTCAATAAATTTTCTCCTCCACTCCTGAAAAGAACTAGTAAGTAAATTCAATTCTTGAATAAACAAGATGTTTTGAATCAATTGATTTTAGTTTATTTTCCAATAATTTTTCTACAGCAGTATTTTAGGTATAAATTACATACAGTAAAATGCCCAGATCTTAATTGTACTGCTGAATGAGTTGGAAATCATATTCACTCATGTAACCATCATCCCAATCAAGATATAGGACATTTCCCACCCCAGAAAGTTCCCACCAGTGGCCCTGCAGTCATTCCCCACCTCCACCTGCCACACAGAGACACTTACTTCTACAGTGGGCTTCTTTTTCTTATGTGGCCAGAAAACAGAATCAAAAGTGATTTTCCAACTTAAAGCTGATGAAATAGCATTAAGAACCACAAAATACCATTAAGAACCATGTTGCCTGTAGGTGCTCTTAATATGAATTAATCATCTATCAAAAGCTGGTCTAATACGTGACTGGAGGAAGGGCAAAAGACCTTGAGCTCGGTTCGGTTAACAATGCGAGTGTTGATACAATTTGCTAAGATGCTGGCTGGACTTATGTGGATTCTTGATCTATTTTAAGTAAGTTTAAATAGGTTTTAAATAGCTTTTCTTCACCTAGGAAACACTAATTTCTAGTAGTGCTTCCTGCCCTCCCATTTCTGATACCAGAAAGACAAGAGAGCTAGAACACAGACCGACTTGCAGTTAAAAGTTTACTTGTTTATTGTATTTTTTTCACAGTTTACTTTTTAAAAAATTTTGATTATGCCAGGTTATTATCTGGGTTGAAGTTGGGAGTCAGATAAGCTAAACATCATTCCTTTTGTCCTAATCCAATATATTTAATTAAAAATTAGTGCACAGACAGGGGCCTCTGAGCAATCTCTTCCTTCTTAGAATCAATTTACTCCATTGTTTTGCCAGTGGTTCACTTTCCCCAATTTTAGGAGCTAGGCAATGACAATTTACATACAAGAAAATTATGAGAAAGGCACTGTAGCTTTCAGTACATTGCAAATTTAGGAAACCACTAGTATTAGCAGCTCTACTTATAAACCCTGGTAATCAATTCTGAGCGTAATATTAAAACAAAAAGTCTGAGACCACAAACATTGCAATTCTTGGTTATGCTCAAACAACATGTCTACACCCTAGAGAGTCATTGTGTCTCTACAGTGGATGCTGCGCTGGCTTCTGGGAATCAGAGCTCTGTTTTGCGGTGCATCGCTGCATACTTGGGTGCCAGTTCTTTGATCAGATTCACGTAGTCGGTTTTTTCCGCACAGGCCCTGCACTCTTCTCCCCAGCTGTACAGTATCTGTTTCAGCTCTGTGACTCTCATCTTGGACAGGTCCACTGATGCCAAGTCCAATTTCTTTTCTTAATGACAAAAAGGGGAATCACAATTTTTATAAAAAACAAAGCCAACTAGCAAACACTTAGAAAGGCAACTAATAAAAGAAAAATAGAAAAATAGAAATGTATATGCATATTTGCATGTATACGAGCCAGTTTCAAACTTCAGCAGATCCCTGACCTGTATTATCCTTCCACATTCCAAAAATACCTATTCCAATTAAAACGCTGAAAGTTTCCAAAATGTGTGCTTTGAACAAAGTACCAGTAATCATAAAAAACAAAATCAAAATTCTCTTCACAATCTTTTCTAGTTAAGCTGAATCATATTCAAAGTTAGCTTTAATGGAGCTCGGGGGGAAAAAAACAGAAACACACAAAGCATTTAAAGGCCAAAATTGGATTGATTAAAATTGCCACATTGAACTCTTTTTTCCTAACAACTTCTTGATTTCCTAGATATGGGCTATTATTCCATTTTTTTTAAAACCCCAATAAAATTTCCACCATTTATCCTTGTAAAAAAAAGAAAGAAAG